CTTCCAAATGTTCAGCAATGGGGCTCATCGTCACCACAATGGGGTACTCCTAAAAATGCTCAACAATGGGGTTTATCGTCAAATGCTCCACAATGGGGTACACCTCCAAATGTTCAGCAATGGGTTTCATCGTCAAATGCTCCACAATGGGTTAGTACACCAAATGTTCAACAATGGGGTTCATCGTCAAATGCTTCACAAGGGGTTACACTACTAAAATGCTCAGCAATGGGGTTAATTGTCAAATGTTCCACAGTGGAGTACACCACCAAATGCTCAATATGGATTTTCAGTGGGATCAGAAGTAGAAACAAATATAAATAATCAAGAAAGAGGTTCACAAGAAGCAGAAGGTCGCATCTCAACCAACCTTCATATGAGAGTATCATCAGAATTTGGTTTCAGAAATTATTTTCCAGAAGCAAAAATTTCCAGATCCCACAGAAGAGGAGGATTATTTAATATCTGGGGAACTAAACAAGGACCTAATTTAAATGAAAGTTATCAGAATGAATATGAGGATGAAGATTAGTTTTGTGTTGTTTATTATTTTTAATTAACAATTATGTTATGTTTTGTTTTTTGAGCAACATGTTTTATTTTATGTTTCCGTCATATCCATTAAGTATTATGAAGTATTCTGTATTCCTCAATTTAATTTAGTTCTTTTTATGCTTAAAAGTTTTTTAATAATGAGTATGTTCAAATTTTTATTTAATTTTTGTCTCATATTTTTGAAATTTCAGGCATTTCGTATATGTCAGTTACGAACACATGAATCTAAGTTATGAAGAGCGAATTGAGTTGTGGAATTTGGAAAATGAACAGTTTGAAGAGTTAATCATTCAACCATCATTAAGTTGTTACAATCGATATTTTGAAAGAGGACCAGATCAAACCGATAGTGGTTTGGGATGGATAAATATTTGGGATCGATTACAAGAAGATAATGCTGCTTGTCTTCAGCTATTACGAATGTCCCTTGGCGCGTTCTGCACATTGTATGAAAAATTGCAAACAACTTATGGTTTAAATTGCAAACGACTTATGGTCTACAAACAAAATTAAATGTAAGCATTGAAGAGAGTGTGGCCATGTTTCTAACAATATGTGGGCATAACGAAGTTCCAAGAAATGTTGGATTACGATTTGGACGAACACAAGAGACAGTGAAGCGGAAATTTTTTGAAGTTCTTCAAGCGGCCGAATTACTTGCTTGTGACTATATCAAGAATCCAACAACACAAGAACTAATACGGGTTCCAAAATGACTACTAATGGTGAGAGATATTGGCTTTATTTTAGTAGTTTTGTTGGATTTATGGATGGAGTTCATGTTTGTGTTAAAGTGAAGCCTGAAGTTCAAGGAATGTACTTGAATCGGCACAATATTACATCATTTAACATAATGGTGTTATTCGATTTGAATATGCTATTCACATATGTTTGGAAGGGAGCGTCTGGTTCATGTCACGATACAACAGTTCTCACAATGGCGCAAGACAATAATTTTGATTTTCCTTTACCTCCAGTCGATAAGTACTATTTCGTTGACTCTGGCTATCAAAATAAACAAGGCTTTTTGGCTCCCTATAGGTCTTCACGAAACGGGGTTGTCAGGTATCATATGTCACAGTTCGAAAGTGGTCTTCCTCCGAAAAAAACAAGAGTTATTTTACCAATATCATGCATCTTTGCGTTCTGTTATTGAGAGGACATTTGGAGTTTGGAAGAAAAATGGAAGATTCTTTGCGAATATCCAAGATATGATATGCATGTTCAGAGTGGTAACAGTAACAATGAGATTACATAATTTTATTAGAATTTCAAATTTTTCTGATGAAAATTTTGTTGATACAATGACATATACAGAAATTTCCAATGCTACATCTATGGCTGAACGAAATGATAGGGACGAAACGGAAACGAGGCAAACGTTAGAGAAATGATTGTGAATATGTTATGGGCAAATAAAAATGCTTCATGTTGATTTTTTTTCAATTTAATTGTATGTTTTAAAATGTATTTTTAATGTTTAAATTTTCTTGTTATTTACTAAAAAACATAATTCTTATTATTTTTATATAATAATTTATATTTTTAGATATTTAAATTAATAAATTTTATTGTTTAGCATTCGATTAAATAAGCTAATACGATAAACTTGTTAAACCAGCTTGATCTGCATTTGTTCTGTTTGATTTGCTTGATCTGTATTTGTTTTGCATGTTCTGTATTTTATGTTTGATCTGCATATTTTTTATCTGGACTCCATTCAAAACCTAAACCTGACTATTTTCCCCTTTTTATGTAGGTATCCCCCCCCATAAATATCATTTATAGATAAAAACTTATTTAATATCAATTTGTCCATTTCAGAATTTCTGTAAACTTAATAACTCCATGTGTAATCTTTGTTTATTCAATGCTCAGAAAAAAAGTTTTGCTTCTCTTTTTTTATTTATGTATCTTTATAATTTAAATTTTTAGTGTAGTTAATATAAACATAACGTAAATCATTTTAATAATTTATTAATTTGTTTTGCCCTTTAATGAATATTCAATTTTTTTTTTCAAAAATACCATTACTTTTACAAACAAAAATCAATTTTCATTAATGTCATTCTGGTTATCTGATTTTTGGCGTTAAAACCAATATTATCGGAAATGCTCTCACAATATTGTAGACCTGTAAGTTCCTTTCCAAGTTGAATTAAGTTAAGGCGTCTTAAATAATCTTAAGGGTTTGCTGAATTAGAGCACCATTTTCCTAATGACACTCAGGTTTTTAGTTTGATACATGGATTTTCAGATTCTTATTGTGTTATACTCCATATTTTAGAAAATGGTAGAAAAAAAGAAAGAACAATTATATTGAAACAAAACGGATTAAGTGACCTTCATATCAAAGCCATTTCAGCATAAATGAATATCCACTATAGTTAATGTTATATACATAAGAAGTTGGCGGTCGATAACCGAGATGTAAGAGCATCCCCATCAGTGAACATGATGGGGAGGGGTTCATAGAAAAAAAATTAATTTTTTTTTTAGTTTGCTTTTTCTAAAAAAAAAAAAAAATTAATAACGGACCAATCACGGAACGCCACGTTGCGAATCCCGTGTGAACCGGGTTCATCCCGACGAACCTCCAAGACCCGGGTTCACCAAAATTAACATATTTTATTATTATTTTTTCTTGATCCGCATGTGAACCTCCCCCACGAACCTCCAATGCGGATGCTCTAAGTTAGGGGTTTACGAAAAAAAAAAACAAAAGAGAAAAGAGGTACCATAGACCATTAGGTAATACTTGATTAACATACTTACACACACTTGAGTCATCATAAAAATAAAACATATGATAATGCTTTGCTCTTCTAGGTTGAGGACAATACACGTAAAACATAAAACACACAAAAAGCATTTGTAATTGGTACTGTTTGTAATGGATGGCTGATATAATGTGATCGCCTATTTCGTAGATTATATGAGAAAAAAACTTTAGTTACATATCATGTATTAGCATGTGATATTTTTAGAAAATAAATCTTTAATAATATATGTTAATATATATATATATATATATATTGAAATAAAATAAAAAGATTTAATTTAAAATAAACATTATAGAAAAACCCTGGATAGACCTCTAGTCTCTTATATCTTTACACCAAGCATAAAGTTTACTATCTATTTCTAAAGTTTGAACTTATATTCTTTCTTGTTCAAAAAAAAAAGAACTTATATTCTTTCATCTGTTACAAGTTTAAACTCATACTAGATTTTGACCCGCGCTTAAAAGCGCGGAAATTTTTTATGATTAAAAATTTATATAATTAGGTTTTGTTTTAATTTAAAGAATATTTTGATATAAAATCAGATCACCAAAATTTGTGGTGGTGATTGTTTTTCATTAGTTTTTAGTTTGACTTTTTATTTTTAGATTTTGGTTTTTAGTTTTTAAGTTTCTACTTTTCATTTTCAGTCTTTTAATTTTTAAACCCGCTGAGTTAGTTTGAACTAATATTACCAGCAAACAAATCTCAAATAATCGAACATCTAATTTAAAACTGAAAAGATGAAAAAAACTAAAAAAAAATTGAAATAGTTTATATTCTTAAAAACAAAGAATAAAAAAATATAATATGTGTTTTCAGTTTTGGGTTTTGGATTTTAGTTTTTAGATTTGGTTTTTGGTTTTGCTTTACATTTTTTTAATCAGTAAATTATTTAAGAAAAATAAAACAATAAATTATTTAAAAGTTACAATTTAAATTTATCAAAACAAAGTGATTGTTATTTAAAATAAAAAATATATTAACATGTTTTAAAGTACATGATTTAAATAAATGATTAATAATAGATAATTTTCTTTTGTTAAAAATATTAAATATCTTTTGGGTCTGAAAATAATAATTGATTTTTTGATCTTTTAAGGTGAAATGTTTATTCAATGTTTTTGGAGTTTTTCCTTAATATTAAGCCCAAAAACCAAACTATATAATTTCTTCAAAAAATAAAAGTAGAGAAAAGGACATGAATAGCACTAAACCAAGTTTTTATTCCCAAAATGACACTCAAAACCCAAAATCACATAAATAAGTTTCATTAAACACATCATTTACCTTTATACCCTCTCCTTTGATTAATTAAAAAAAATTCTAAAATCAAATTGTCGTATACGACTGATCGTCGTCTTCTTCTCTCCCCTCCGAATCGCCGTTCTCCTCTTCGCTTCATCATCTTCGTTTCGTCTTCGTCGTCGTCTCTCTGTCATCTTCGTATGTCGTCTGTCCATCATACTTGATCTGTCGTCATCTTCGTCTCTCCATTTTATTCTCTCTTTTCTCTGATTTGATCAAGGTATCAAATTATATTCATTATACATTATCGAGGTTTTGATTTGTATGTCTTGATATTCATTCGAAACTAAAGTTGTTCACGATTCAGAAAAAGAGATAGAATCGAAGCCAAAAGACAGAGTAACATATAATACCATGGCAAAGGATTGTTTTCGTCATCAAAGAACAACTCTCAGTCATCAGGTACAAGTTTCTAACTGGGAACCTAGCTTTCAGCTTCAAGAGTTATTATATGAGCATGGTAAATATAGTTTTGTCATTGCTGATTTGTTTGAAATAGTTCAGTTGACTCAAAAGGCAACAGCTGTCAATGTGAGGCATCTTGCATACCAATTGTTCGTTAAAATGCTTCTCAGAAACGGAAAGGAGCAGTATAATAATCAAAAATTCAAAACTCTCCCAAATCATGGCACTTCAAGTTTAAAACCAGAGCCACAAGAGTGTATTTACATGCAAATCTTTGGTATAATGTAACAATAGAAGATGGTGACAGAAAGATAAGAAAGAAGACAGTCATTGGCTTATTCAAACATGGGAGACAGCTTTATTATGTGTTCTTGAAGCGACTTGCGTGGTTACTGCTGAGTAACAATGATCTGATATTTCAAGAGCAAACTAAGGAGATGAGAAGCGCAATACTAAGGTTTCAATGCTCTCTTCACCTTCTTCAGCCTTATTCTACGGCGAATAACAACAACCATTCGAATCTTAGCTTGTACAATTTGGCGCCGTTTCGGGTCTCCGGCACGATTTCGGTACCAAAGATCCAGAGGGTACGTGCGGATTGCTCTAGAAGGAGCGTAAGAGTGAGAATTAATGGTTTGGTAGAAAAATGAAAGAAGAAGAAAAAGAAGTGGAAGAGTTTCAAGAAGAAGAAGAAGATGAGTTCACGTCGAGGAAGAGAGATAGTTACGGAGGGAAGAAGGAGGATATCAATTACGATAAAGACACTGAGTTTGCTGATATTCTTGGAGATTGTTTAGATAATCCAGAGAAAGCTCAAAAGAAGGTATAAAGTTTATATCTTTCATCTATTTTGAAGCTTACCATTTTAAACAAGAAGCTTGTTTATTGAATGAAGTAGGTGTGAGATTAAATTAGCATCCTTTTTTTCTTTTTGCGTTGGTTTTGATTGGTGGTAGATGGAGGAGAGGTTGAGGAAGAAGAGGAACAAGATTCTTCATACCAAGACTGGTTCTACTACTTCCATGCAGATCACTTTCAACAAGTTAGTAACTCAGTTTATATAATTGATCCTCTTGGTTGTTTTTTCTTACACATTTGATTTGCTACATCATTGGTTGCTTTGTTAATCATCACTGAGATGGTTGAAAACAAAGATCATGATCATGCTGTTGATAACTGGACTTTAGGGATTCTGTGTTATGAGTTTCTATATGGTAGCCCTCCATTTGAAGCTGAGAGTCAAAAAGATACATTCAAGAGGTAAGCCAAGACTAGAATTTTGTTTAAACTTAAAACCTCAGCTCCTGATGAAGCTGTCTTATATATATAATGGTATGCAGAATCGTTAAGATCGATCTGAGTTTTCCTGATAACACCAAATGTCTCTGCAGAAGCTAAAAATCTAATCAGTCAGGTAAACCTTAAGTTGAAGCATTACGCCTAAGGACTCTCTCTTTCTGGATTAGTTTATAGATCCTTAACATACATTGCTTTGTAATTCTCTGCAGCTTCTTGTTAAGGATCCTTCCAAAAGACTTTCTCTTACGAAGATCATGCAACACCCCTGGATCGTCAAGAACGCAGATCCTAAAGGTGTATGCCTTTTTTGATGCTATACTAAAGGTGTATAGCCTATACACCCTATCTCTGGACAAATGGGTTATATATAATCTAACGTTGTGGGAAGAAAGACTTGGAAGTTTAGAGAAAGCATATTCCTAGATGTATGTTGTCTCATTTTAGCACAACATAATCTAAATGACTTTTGTGTCTTAATATTCTTTTGAGTTCTTACTTCTAAACATCATATTAAGAAGGATCCATAGATAGAAACATCAGAAACATTAGAAGCTCAACAACTTTTTCTAAACTCCTGAAGAACACAATGACAAGACCTCCTCCTCGTTGTCTTCTTCCCCCCTTAAAGCTATGTCAGTAATGGTGGTGTCGGTGCTGCAGCTATTAGTGTTCTTCTCATCTGAAACTCGGGTCAATGGAGTTCCCAAACCTGAAACAGGGAGCTTCTGGCCATCTCCATCTTCGCAAGAAACAGATCTATTATCTGGTCTCACGGTTACTCGGATAAAACCAGCATTCTCGTGTGAGTGAGTAGTTTCCACTGGACGCTTCTTCTTAATACCTATGCATGTGCTTATCACAGTATTTATGACCAGACAATACATTTTTGCTGCATCTCCACTTCTTCCCATCTGTTCTTCGGCACCTTCCTGGTTCATTGTCTGTTTCATCTCTGTGTAAACCAAACCCACCACGATCTGCAGAAAAGAAGACACCAAGCAAAAAAATAGTTCAAATTTGTTAACATTGGATTTTCCTTTCCTGAAACTACATAAATCCTTCCTGAAATTTAAAAAACACACGACAAGCAATTGTCTAAAAATGTCATAAGCAAATTCAAGAGGCTACCAAAGATATCAACAGGCGTAATCCAAACAAGAAGACACAAAGCAAAAAAAAAAAAATTAAATTTGTTATCATCGAATATCTGAAAGCTTTCCTAAAACTACACAAATCCTTCCTGAAATTTTAAAAGTAGTACACAGTTTCACAAGCACAAGCAAGAGACAAACAATGTAATAAGGAAATTCACGAGCCTACCAAAGATATAACATGTCTAAGCCAAACAAGAAGACACCAAGCAAAAAAAAGTTCAAATTTGTTAACATCGGATTTTCTGGAAAGCTTTCCTGAAACTACATAAATCTTTCCTGAAATTTTAAAAACAATACACAGCTTCACAAACACACGACAAGCAATTGTCTAAAAATGTCATAAGCAAATTCAAGAGGCTACCAAAGATATCAACAGACGTAATCCAAACAAGAAGACACAAAGCAAAAAAAAATAATCAAATTTGTTATCATCGAATATCTGGAAAGCTTTCCTGAAACTACACAAATCCTTCCTGAAATTTTAAAAGTAGTACACAGTTTCACAAGCACAAACACAAGCACAAGCACAAGCAAGAGACTAACAATGTCATAAGCAAATTCACGAGCCTGCCAAAGATATAACATGTCTAAGCCAAACAAGAAGACACCAAGCAAAAAAAAATTCAAATTTGTTAACATCAGATTTTCTGGAAAGCTTTCCTGAAACTACAGAAAACCTTCCTGAAATTTTTAAAATAGTACACAGTTTCACAAGCACAAGCAACTGTCTAAAAATGTCATAAAGAAATTCAAGAGGCAAACAAAAATAATCAAATTTGTTATCATCGAATATCTGGAAAGCTTTCCTGAAACTACACAAATCATTCCTGAAATTTTAAAAGTAGTACACAGTTTCACAAGCACAAGCAAGAGACTAACAATGTTATAAGAAAATTTACGTGCCTACCAAAGATATAACATGCCTAAGCCAAACAAGAAGACACCAAGCAAAAAAGAATTCAAATTTGTTAACATCAGATTTTCTGGAAAGTTTTCCTGAAACTACATAAATCCTTCCTAAAATTTTAAGAACACTACACAGTTTCACAAGCACAAGAACAAGCAAGAGATTAACAATTTTATAAACAAATTCACGAGCCTACCAAAGATATCAACATGTCTAAGCCAAACAAGAAGACACCAAGCAAAAAAAAAAATTAATTAGATATTATTTTTTAGAAAATCCTTCCTAAATATTTTACTTGTTATCCTAACATTTTATTTTTAATTAAATATTACATTTTTAGGAAGCTCTTCCTAAATATTTTACATACTATCATAAATATGATATATATGGAAGCTTGATAATACATGCTATCCTAACATGATATATGTGGAAAGCTTTCCAGCAACTACATAAATTCTTACTGAAATTTTAAAAATAGTACACAGTTTAACAAGCACAAGCACAAGCAAGAGACTAATAATGCAATAAAAAAATTCACGAGCTTACCAAAGATGTAACATGCCTAAGCCAAACAAGAAGACACCAAGCAAAAAAAAAAATTCAAATTTGTTAACATCGGATTTTCTGGAAAGCTTTCCTGAAACTAAATAAATCCTTTCTGAAACTACAAATCCTTCCTGAAATTTTAAAAATAGTACACAGTTTCACAAGCACAAGCAACTGTCTAAAAATGTCATAAGCAAATTCAAGAGGCTATCAAAGATATCAACAGGCGTATTCCAAACAAGAAGACACAAATAAATAAAAAAATCAAATTTGTTATCATTGAATATCTGGAAAGCTTTCCAGCAACTACATAAATTCTTCTTGAAATTTTAAAAATAGTACACAGTTTCACAAGCACAAACACAAGCACAAGCACAAGCACAAGCACAAGCACAAGCAAGAGACTAACAATATCATAAGAAAATTCACGAGCTTACCAAAGAGATAACATGCCTAAGCCAAACAAGAAGACACCAAGCAAAAAAAAATTCAAATTTGTTAACATCGGATTTTCTGGAAAGCGTTCCTGAAACTACATAAATCCTTACTGAAATTTTAAAAATATTACACAGTTTCACAAGCACAAGCAACTGTCTAAAAATGTCATAAGCAAATTCAAGAGGCTATCAAAGATATCAACAGGCGTATTCCAAACAAGAAGACACAAATCAAAAAAAAATTCAAATTTGTTATCATTGAATATCTGGAAAGCTTTCCAGCAACTACATAAATTCTTCCTGAAATTTTAAAAATAGTACACAGTTTCACAAGCACAAGCACAAGCACAAGCATAAGCATAAGCAAGAGACTAACAATGTCATAAGAAAATTCACGAGCTTACCAAAGATATAACATGCCTAAGCCAAACAAGAAGACACAAAGCAAAAAAAAATTCAGATTTGTTAACATCGGATTTTCTGGAAAGCTTTCCTGAAACTACATAAATCTTTCGTGAAATTTTTAAAATAGTACACAGTTTCACAAGCACAAGCAACTGTCTAAAAATGTTATAAGCAAATTCAAGAGGCTATCAAAGATATCAACAGGCGTATTCCAAACAAGAAGACACAAATAAAAAAAAAATTCAAATTTGTTATCATTGAATATCTGGAAAGCTTTCCAGCAACTACATAAATGATTCCTGAAATTTTAAAAATAGTACACAGTTTCACAAGCACAAGCACAAGCAAGAGACTAACAATGTCATAAGAAAATTCACGAGCTTACCAAAGATATAACATGCCTAAGCCAAACAAGAAGACACCAAGCAAAAAAAAATTCAAATTTGTTAACATCGAATTTTCTGGAAAGCTTTCCTGAAACTACATAAATCCTTCCTGAAATTTAAAAATAGTACACAGTTTCACAAGCACAAACAACTGTCTAAAAATGTCATAAGAAAATTCAAGAGGCTACCAAAGATATCAACAGGCGTATTCCAAACAAGAAGACACAAATAAAAAAAAAATTCAAATTTGTTATCATTGAATATCTGGAAAGCTTTCCAGCAACTACATAAATTCTTCCTGAAATTTTAAAAATAGTACACAGTTTCACAAGCACAAGCACAAGCAAGAGACTAACAATGTCATAAGAAAATTCACGAGCTTACCAAAGATATAACATGCCTAAGCCAAACAAGAAGACACCAAGCAAAAAAAAATTCAAATTTGTTAACATCGGATTTTCTGGAAAGCTTTCCTGAAACTACATAAATCCTTCCTGAAATTTTAAAAATAGTACATAGTTTCACAAGCACAAGCAATTGTCTAAAAATGTCATAAGCAAATTCAAGAGGCTACCAAAGATATCAACAGACGTATTCCAAACAAGAAGACACAAATAAAAAAAAATTCAAATTTGTTATCATCGAATATGTGGAAAGGTTTCCTGAAACTACACAAATTCTTCCTGAAATTTTAAAAATAGTACACAGTTTCACAAGCACAAGCACAAGTACAAGTACAAGCACAAGCACAAACACAAGCACAAGCACAAGCACAAGCACAAGCACAAGCACAAGCACAAGCACAAGCAAGAGACTAACAATGTTATAAGAAAATTTACGTGTCTACCAAAGATATAACATGCCTGAGCCAAACAAGAAGACACCAAGCAAAAAAAAATTCAAATTTGTTAACATCGGATTTTCTGGAAAGCTTTCCTGAAACTACATAAATCCTTCCAGAAACTACGTAAATCCTTCCTAAAATTTTAAAAACACTACACAGTTTCACAAGCACAAACTCAAGCACAAGAACAAGCAAGATATTAACAATGTTATAAGCAAATTCACGAGCCTACCAAAGATATCAACATGTCTAAGCCAAACAAGAAGACACCAAGCAAAAAAAAAATTAATTAAATATTAAACTTTTTAGAAAATCCTTTCTAAATATTTTACTTGTAATCCTAACATTTTATTTTTAATTAAATATTACATTTTTAGGAAGCTCTTCCTAAATATTTTACATACTATCATAAATATGATATATATGTAAGCTTGTTAATACATGCTATCCTAACATCTTTGATTTTTTTCGAAAACAGACTTATGCAAGAAAACACTCATTTTATATTTCTGGAAACATATCCTAAAAGTGCCAAAAGCTATTCTATATAACATATGTGTTTTATAATGATACCACATTTAACACTTTCTTTGATAGAATTATTGAAAATGCTTCAAGCTATCCTTGTTCTTTATTTTGTAGATAATGAACTCTATTTGGTGATTTCTATAGCCAATGAATTTTTTTTATAGATTTAATTATGTTTTTTTTTGTTTTGGAAGATTAAATTTCAATTTATGATAACCATCCTCAACAAGGATTGTCTAACATTCCTTACACGCTTGTAATTCTCTTCGAAAACATACTTATGCAAATAAAACACTCATTTTATTTTTCTGGAAACTCATCCTGAAAGTGCCAAAAGACCTATATAACTTATGTGTTTTATAATGATACCACATTTAACACTTTCTTTGATAGAATTATTGAAAATGCGTCAAGCTATCTTTGTTCTCTATTTTGTAGACAATGAACTGCAAGGAATTGGCTGACTGCACCTTGACATGGCCTGACATTTGTTTATGTACACAACTGTTAGTTATCATCTATTAAGAAAAACAAACTAAAAAGACCAATGAGATATTATTACCTTGAGTCTTTGTTTGCTATCCTTGTCCCAGAAATTGAATGCCCCATCGGAGCCAGCAGTGGCAAAAGTGCCTTGTACCTTCATGTTACAGTAGTCAAAACAATTACCATCTGTATAATCTAGTTTCATAGTGTTGAAGCTTACGACTACAGAGACATAGGGAACTTACCGGGTGGAAGTTCAGAGCGTTGACAGAATAGATCTCATTCCCATCTCTGTGGCATTTGAATGTGAAGTTCTTGTTCTGTTGAGCATCATCCAGGTGATGCACACCAACCCTCCCCTCAATTGAACCAACCTACAGAGAGCATCGGATATTCGGATCTGGTTATATTGAACATTTTGTGTGATCTAGAAAATAAATGACTGATGAACAACTTCCAACATTACTAAACCTATTTTTTTACTAGAATAACTAATAGAAACTTCTCAAGCTTGAAAAGGAAAGAACATTTTGTACAATTATATAAGTGCGTGAGAGCAATGCAATGTAGCATCAGCTAGATTCCCATACCATTGAATTAACTGAAACGCAATCTAACCATCAGAGGGTGTTTCACAGACAATGCATAGCATTTATCTGGAAGCTGTTGGGTATGGACAGGAGTTTGCTGCCTTGTGTCCCAATATCTGGAAGGAAAAACCAACATACATTCGTTTTATCAGTCAAGGCAATTTTATATCATTTGTCTGATTTTCGTAATAGAAGATAATGGAACAAAATCAAATCTTTTACCTCAAAGTTTTGTCCCAGCTTCCAGTAACGAGGAGATTCATGCCGGGGATCCAGGCCATGGCACTAATAGGAGCATTGTGCATAGCAACAGTAACAGGTTGACCACCTGAGAGCAAGGGCCACATTTTGGCTTGCTTATCACATCCCCCACTAAAGACAGTGGTCCCATCATCTTTCCAAGCAGAGCATAAGACCTTCATCAAAAGATACACACAATCATCAGAATTAATTGAAAGCAATCTACAGAAAGAAAAGAAGATAGAGAGTAACAAGAGATATTTACCGGCTGGTCATGAGAGATTGATGCCTTAGGAGCACTGGCTAGAGAGGTTCCACTACGGGAAATTTCCCAACACCTCACCTGATTGTCCCAAGAAGTGGCGACAAGAATATCGGCTCTTGGGCTAAAACTTAAGCTGGAGATAGAATCTGCGGGTGATGGAGTAACCTGCAGTGACAAGGGAAACCTTTTGTGTGAAACTTGTACTCAAATAAAATAAAGACTGGAGCTTTAAGAGAAAAAAAGCAATGTAGACATCCACAAGGAAGTAAACAAGTCTCAAAAGAATTCAATAGGGTTTGACACAACAGATCCTGCTTCCTGTTCGCCTTCCTTTACTAGGCGTCAAGTTAAACTTCAACACACCATTCTCAACCTTTCTCCCAATACTAGTACTACTACTGTTACTAACCTTCTTCTTACCACTAATGTATCCACCATCATCACTGTTCCGTTGAAACCCTCCACCTCCACCTCCAGTAGCTGAACTTCTACAACTCACACTACTATTGCTCCTCATCATCTTCGGATCAAACCCATTTCTACTTTCTACATTCCATGACCCTGAAAACGTTCTATCAACACCGCTTCTTCTTCCTTCTTCCTCCTCTTCGTATTTATTACCATTTTTCCTATGAAGCAGACCAAATATATTCCAACTCCATCTCTTAGACTTCTTCATCCCTTTCTTGCTAGACTCCACAGTCTCTCTGCCACCCATCTCCAAATTCTCAACGGAGCAATCTCCCCTCACTGAACTAGAACGTGAACGCGAATGTTTTGGCGAGACTTTAGTGTTTGAAGCAGGCAGTTTCAGTTCATCGATCTCAGCTATAACAGAAGCTGATAACTTTCTGGTGGAGCTAGAACGGTCAAGACTCTTCCTCCGTCGTGTAGATGAGTCGTTGTAGTACTCTCGTGTCTGTTCAGAACCACCAGGGACAACACTCTCCGGTCCTGGTGCTGGTGGTGTTTGCTCTTCAATCGGAATGTGCCTATCTGACCGGAGAACAAGATTACTCACCGGAGAATCTTCCACAACAGAGAACATGGACGGCATCCGCGGCGAAGCCGCCACAGTCCCAAGAAGCGTGTGGCTTGTCAAAAGAGTAACGAGGGTGGTCGTCCACCGAAACCCTACCGGCGTCAAGCGAGAATCTCCCGGCGTCGATAGAGAATCTCGGATCCGTGTCGCTGCCGCCGCCGCCGCCGCCGCGGCGATGCTTCTTAAGCTACTGCTTTTGTCTCCATTTCTGTAGCTTCTCCGATCGATGATGATTTGTCTCCAGCGTGATTAGTCTCTCGTGATGGAAGACGACAAGAGAAAACAAATTTTTTTTGTTTTATGAGGGTATCAGAGTCTTTTGAATAGTTAATGAAGGCTATTTTTGTGACTTTTGGCTTCTAATGCTAGTTTTGAGACATACAACTTTAAAAGTGCTATTTTAGACAATTGCCCATAAAAGTAAGCCTAAAACTATATTCCATAAATAACCACTGGTTTAATTTAAGTATAATTAGTAGATTACCATATTCCATATTTTGATGATATATATTCTTTTTAACCATTCCATATTTGTAGGAGAAAATATGTGTTTTTGGTATACACATAGATATCTGCCGTATTTTGAAGGTAGTTTACATTAAGATCATCTTTTTACATTAATTGTGTTGGTTTAATTTATGTAATACGATTCAATTAGTTATATGACTTATATTATTTGTAACATTTGAGAAAAGGTCCAAATTTAAATGATAACTTGTATTAGTAGATAAAAAGAATGACTCTATTTTAATAGAATAGATTCATGTTACTTATCTATGGGCTGGGCTGAGTTGTATCATTGGGCTCGGGTTGCTCCATCTCCCTCTCCGCTTCAAGTTGATGCCTAGCAGCAACCACAGCTTTGATCATCTTAACTGGCCAGCAAAGTTCTGAACAAAATCTAACTTAATTGTTTGTTAAATAATCAAAACAACAGCCCAAAGAAAATATTTGTTATTCTTTTTTGAAAACTATGCTCTTTCTTTATTCAATGCATAAACTTTTCAGTTCTCGCACTACTCTATGAATCGCTGTTTGCTTCTGTGTCATCTAATTCTTCTGTAGGCAGATTGCATTATAAAGCTTCATTAGCAGAGACAACGGACACTAATTCTCTTGACCGGGGAACGCTTCCTGTCTCTATTCCTTATACCATCAAGGTGCCTGGTTTTGGCTTAACTCAAAATCATAGCGCAAATTCGGACAGAATCTTATAATGGCATGTGCTTGGTCGTATTAGTGTTGCTTCTTTTGGAATACCCTGTTCGTTTTTCTCTATGAAAGTGTTTTGGGGATTTGAGAGAGAGACTGTTGTTTTTGAGTGACGTTTCAAGGAAAATATTGTGTTGTCATTGTTCTTTTTTGAGTTCTGTGTCATTCTTTTCTTTTCTTGGGATCTCCAAAACATTTCTTTCATATACTATCCCCGATTTTCATAAAGAAACATTGGCTCTTTGACTCTGCTTTAGTCTACATTAAGAAAATGGACCACTTTTTAACTTAACGTTAATAAGTTCGATTATATTCCTGATTTCTTTGATTTCTAATTGTCTTGTATAAACGTTTCACACTAAGTCATTATGACGACATGCCAAGAAGAATCTAATTGATGAAGTTGTTGACGTTTATGGAAAATTTAGGAGTTAGTTTAAGAAGCTGGTTTAGACTCTTAATCAAGTGCCTATTTGTTTCCTCTCTCCCTTACCCTTTTGAGAAATGATTGCTCTCGATGGACTTCTAAGTTCTAACTGCTTGCCTTTAGTGATTTGGAGTAACTAATACTCTTTTTGTTTCATATTTCACCAAGTTCATCAATGGTTTCCTTGTCTTATTGATTCGTGTTAAGATCATCTTATAATTACTATGTCATAAAAGCAATGACTGGCTAGGGATTCTATTAGAGAATTTGAGTCTATATATTATATTTTACTCAAAAATATTTGAGAGGCCTATAAACTAGGCGCGGGGTTCACGTCTAGAATTAGATTAGTTGACACCATACTTTTAATAATTAAAGTATAGGGAAATGGTTTGACAAAAAAAAAATATAGGGAAAATGATGAGCAATTAGGCTCTTCTTGGCCACATCTTCATTAGGAAATTCTAAGCTTTGATATCAACTGAAATTAAGTCTAAGTCACTTCTATGTATTAGAAAAGTTATTGACGAAGAAAGTATCATGATTGGTTTTTGGATTAAAAGACCCTAAGCCCTAGCTCTTTAATCCTAAACCCTAATTTTGACTTCTTCATAATTTCTAAAGAATTTTTCTTGTAAATTATGTCTCTTGGGTATTACAATGAAATATCCTTTTACTGCATGCACAAGCTCACTATGATTTTAGAGAGGCTGTCATTTTCTAATAACTGCAGTCCACACATGCGTGCAAGCTCTACAACTCGGGAGTGTTTTTTTCTCTCATATATAAGTTGATATTTTTATAATAGATAGTACTATTGTAATTTTAGAGATGAAAGAGATCATTTTCTTTTGGTTTTCTTTTTGTATATTTCCGAAGATAATATATAGATAGTAACCGTGCTTAAAATATTTCTATTTGTTCTATGAATGGTATCTGAACTAGGGAAAATATTCTTTAAGTGAAATAAAAACCAAGTTTATTTTAGTGTAAGCCTGTTTATGTACTTGTACACGCTAAGACTAAGAACATATGACATTCCTTATAGTATGATATGTACAGAATTGATTGTTTCGTTTAATCTAAAGATTAAGCTTTATAAGCAAAGCAAATACAGTATCTCTTTCTTTTTTGTAGAAAATAGAAAACAACAGCAAAAGTGTACGAGGATGGGTCCGGCTAAAAAACAAAATGATATGAGTGGGAAGTTTCGTGGATTCGAAGGGACGATCATCTTGACATCTTTACACTTGCTTACAAGTTTTTAACTAATTTATCTGACTGGTTTTTCGAATCTGTCAGAGAACTGTTATTTTGTTTTGAACTTATCCTTATCAGTTTTCTAATATGTATGTATAATATAATCCAAGACTGGTTCTGGATATAGTTCAATAAAGCTTTCACTTTGGCTTTAAAAACTTGAAAAATAATCCATATTTTTCTGACTAAAACTCTATAACATGTTAAAGATCTACATTGAGATATTTATAACTTCTATTTTCAATACACTAGATTTATTAGTGTCTTTGCTTTTCTCGTTATTGATATAACATATAGAATGTTGAATTTTCTTACAACACCATTAAATCATTCAAAGTGTTCTAAGTTGTCTACTTTTTTTTTTGGCATAAAGTTGTCTACATATAAGAGTTAGAAAACTAGGGGAAAACTATTGAGAGATTGGGACATTGTTGTTTTTTAAATGCATCCCCTTATTTTTAATTTATTATTAATTTATCTTTGATTCCTCAATGTAAAAGAAAATCCAATCCTAAAATTTAGCCCACGAGAGTAATCATTTAACAAATGAGCATCATCAACTTTTTGAACATGCTTCTATAATCTCACTAACCCTTAATTAGTCTTTTTTTTTTTTTTTTCTAAAAGGTCTCTCAACCAGGAAACAAAAAAACAACGCACAAATATACGATATATTATTATAACTTAACAAAAACAACGCACAAATTTACGATATATTATTATAACTGAACAGTACGAAAACGCGTAACGCGTGCAAGGTGTACCATGGCATTGGTGTTATTATAATTCCCCATTACAAAACTGTTATCTAATAAGATAAGTTAATTGTTATTAGGTCACCAGGGTCAGGCTAAATTTACAAAAATGTTGCGGCTAAAAGTTAAAAAGAAATGTTTTAGAAGAGAAAGTTTTCTGTTAGCTAACTGTATTTTAAATCATGTAGGTAGAATCACATGCGAAAGACCGACTATATTAAAAACTTCTTTACCACACCCTTATTAAAAATTTCCACATGATTCTTTTTACGAAAACATTACGTGTATTTAATTAATTGTTTAGAAATGTTAGATAGATATAAAGATATATACTAGATTTTGATCCGCGCTTGAAAGCGCATAAATTTTTTATGATTAAAAATTTATATAATTGAGTTTTGTCTTAGTTTAAAGAATATTTTGATATAAAATCAGTTCACCAAAATTTGTGGTGATGATTATTTTTCATTAGTTTTTAGTTTTAGTTTTTATTTTTAGATTTTGGTTTTTGGTTTTTAGTTTTTAAGTTTCTACTTTTCATTTTCAATTTTTGGTTTGGGTTTTTAATTTTTAAACTCGCTGAGTTAGTTTGAACTAATATTATTAACAAACAAATCTCAAATAATCGAACATCTAATTCAAAACTGAAAAGATGACAACAAATTTAATAATAAAAAAAATTTGAAATAGTTTATTTTGTAAATAAAAAAGCAAAAAAATATAACATGTGTTTTCAGCTTTTGGTTTTGGATTTTAGTTTTTAGATTTGGTTTTTGGTTTTGCTTTACATATTATTAACCAGTAAATTATTTAAGAAAAATAAAACAATAAATTATTTAAAAGTTACCATTGAAATTTATCAAAACAAAGTGATTGTTATATAGAATAAAAAAATATATTAACATTTTTTAAAGTATATGATTTATATAAATGATTAATAATAGATAATTTTGTTTTGTTAAAAATATTAAATAGCTTTTTGGTCTGAAAATAATAATTGTTTTTTTGATCTTTTAAGGTGAAAAGTTTATTCAATTTTTTTAGAGTTTTTTTCTTAATACTAAGCTCAAAAAACAAACTATATAATTTGTTCATAAATAAAAGTATAAGCCGAAGACTATATTTCATAAATAACCACTGATTTAATTTAAGTATAATTAGTAGATTTTCATATTTCATATTTTGATGATATATTCTTTTAGAACATTCCATATTTGTAGGAGAAAATATGTGTTTTCGATATACACATAGATACCTGCCATATTTTGAAGGTATTTTACATTAAGGTCGTCTATTTACATTTATTGTGTTGGTTTAATTTAAGTAATACGGTTCAATCAATTATATGACTTATATTATTT